GGATGGAGGTGGAGGGAACTTGTGGCCTCCTGGCCCTTGAACGTGGTGCCCCAGCAGCAGGAGCAGCATGACGGAGGTGGAGGTTGCTCCTGGCCTCCTGCCTCTTGAATGTGGTGCCCCAGCAGCAGGTCAGAGGTGGAGGGAGGTCCTGGCCTCCTGGCCCTTGAACGTGGTGCCCCAGCAGCAGGACAGAGGTGGAGGGAGCTCCTGGCCCTTGAACGTGGTGCCTCAGCCTCGGGGACGCAGACCCGGTGGCAGCTCTACGGTGACGAGAGCTTTTTGGAAGGAGGATGGAGAGAAGGTTGCGCTAGCTGGCAGCCTCTGTATCCACCTCCATCACGACGCTGGGGTGAAAGCCAGGCAACGAATGTCCCGACGAAGCCACCCGTGGCTGGGGACAGAGGGAACACCTGTCCTGCCGTAGCGTGGGGGGGTCTCACACCCCAGGGAACGGCTTTCTGCCCAGCTTGGCCCGGAATCGCCCCCGATTTCTCCGATCCCGACGGAAGGGGCCGAGCCAAAGAGGAATCCCGAGCGGCGCCGGTTGCTCGCTGCAGGCCCTGCCGGGTAGAGGGGGAGAACCGAGTGTCAAAAGAAATAAAAAATAAAGGGGTAGAAGTGCATTTAAATCGTGGCTGAAAGCGTTTAGCGTGCAAGGCACTTCCCCTCGAGAATATCAAGGGCTGGGTAAAAATTATTTTGAAAATAACGATTGCTCCTCGTTGCTCCATGTGGTGCTGTAGTAAAACCCCGACTGAAAGCTCCATGGGGACCAGAAAAGGGAAGATGTAAATTTTAATTAGGACTGACATAATTTGGACTTTTATGAGAAATAAGCTGTGAGAGCCTAAAAAAATTCCCTGCCATGAGTCCCACCCTGGCCTGTCTCCGCTGAAGGAAACGCCGCTCGGTGCAGAGGTGAGGGTTAAAACCCCAATATCTCCACCTCGAAATTCTGAGGCCCGGTTTGTGCCGTCACGCCGAAGACGGCTCATTCAGAAGAACGCTGCCACTTGCCCAAGCGTTGTGCTGTCTATATAAAAAAAACTTCTTTTCCCCGTGTTTGCCTCTTCCACAAGGGCAATTTTTTTCCTTCGGCGAACGCTGCTGGAGCCCGGGAGCCCTTCTCTTCCCGCAGGAGCAGGTTCAGAGCGGCGGGCGCGGACCCGCGGGTTTTGGGTCAGACCCTTGGTCTCGCCGGGCCAGAGCAACCCAGAACTCCGCGGCGTGGACCGGAATGTTGCGTGCGGTGCTTTTACTGACCGCTTTGGGGGGTTTTTATTTTTTGATGATTTTGTAAGTTTGCTGGTGGGATGCCGTAAGCGGTGTCTGGAAACCAGGCTGGGCCGGGCTGTGCCGCGGGGCTCCAGCAGCACCCTGCGGCCACGCCGCTTCTCCGTCCAGCGCCCAGATGTTTCCCTCTCCAGCTGCCGAATGAATGCAGCCCTCTATGCGGAGGAGCAGCCCGGGGGGAACTCTGCGGCCTGCATCTACGTGCTTTGCTACAAAATACCTTTGTTTTGGGGTTTTTGGTTTTTTTCCCCCCACCCGTGTGTATTTTGGAAGTTCTCCATACGTCTGCTCTATAGTCTATCTGGAATACGGCATTTACATGTCTACGAAACTGTCCAAAACGTTTGAAAGACATTTTTGTTTGCATAGTTCTAATGGTAATTCCGATTTTACTATTAGCAGGCACAGCTGTTTGGTCTAGAAATGGAGGTCAAGCGTCATCATCTCCCAATTATGAAGGTCCCTTACACTCTTTGGTATGTTTTGATTAGTGACCTCCTCTGCCTCAGTATTTTACTTGCTGTTCTTTCCATTGCTCATCCATTCTTCTCACACAGGTTTTCATTTCGTTAGCGACCGCTATGCCCTCGAACTTGGTTTTACCACCTCTAAAATCGTGTCATGGGTGCTCGAGAGACGTGACGCGGTTGGAGATGCTGCTGGTCGGGGTCTCCTCCTTGACAGGGTGACGAAACGGGGGACGAGGACCCCAGAAAGTGTAGAGGGCGAGCGGGCGGATGGAACGGATCGAGGGGAGAGCGG